ATATATATATATATATATATATATATATATATATATATATATATATATATACGCATATATGAAAACACAGACAGACAGACAGACAGATAGACACACACACACACACACACACACACACACACACACACACACACACACACACACACACACACACACACACACACACACACACACACACACACACGGCTAGGTATAGGAGTATGTGTGTATGTGTGTGTGTGTGTGTGTGTGTGTGTGTGTGTGTGTGTGTGTGTGTGTGTGTGTGTGTGTGTGTGTGTGTGTGTGTGTGTGTGTGTAGATAGATAGATAGTATATGCATGTATATGTATATGATATGTGTATGTGTGTATGTGTGTGTGTGTATAGATAGGTAGATAAATAGATAGATAGACTCATAAATAGATAGATAGATAGATAGATAGATAGATATATAGACACACAGATAGATAGATAGTTATATGTATGTATAGACATATTTAATTGTGTGCCCAAAGAAAGGGTATCATAAAGGTAGTTATACAAACATACATTAATAAAATTTATTTGAGAAGTCATTTTGTATTGTACAGTTTTATCTCTAGGACTGTTGCTTCAGGTTGAAATAAAATATCTCTGGTAAGTAACAAGATGCGCTCGTGTAGACCAGGTCACGAGGCCATGTGTTCTTCGGGTTGGGAGATACTCAAAATCTCCCTTCAAAAATGTACAAAATTACGTGACATGAATTTGTACATGTTACGATAATCAACTGCCATCTTTGACTCATTCCCTTGGTATCACAAGTGACTGTCAGTGTCCAAAAGACTTATGCTTCCAAAGTTAAAAGTTCAAAATGAAAGTTAGTCAAAAGAATACAGCAAAACCCATCTCTCCCATGACTTTTGACAGACATCCCTTGGTTCTGGCTTGTTTATCACAACTGCAAAATAGAATATTTTCATTTATTTTCCATGAAGTTTCAAAAAAGAAAAACTACCCCTACAATATGTAGGAAAATATGTTTATCACATATAAATAGCACTCACTTATGGATGGTAAGAATCCTGAAAACAAGTACTTCACTGTTCATATCAAAAAATTTGTTCCAATGTTCATCTTTTTAATAACTGCAATTACATAATAAATAGCCTGGAACACTGATGCAACAGTATATTCTTATCATTTCACTATACAAAATATATTTTCATTTTCTGCATGTGGCTGAGTGAAAACAAGGAATTTAGTTGAAGAAAATATGTACTGGCACTATTAAACCTTTTTTTCATACCACGTAACATGATTTTCCATTACTAACTCCTCATCCATTACTAACCAATACCAAATAACTTTACCCAAGACTAGAGGCTCTTTCTTAAATACAGATGAAAAAAGTGAGATAGACAAAAAAGGAATCAGCAGTTTCTGGCTAGGCATTATTTCACTGAAATAATATCTTTATAACATTTTTCTCACACAAAGTGATTCCTTTTTTATTATCTAAAGCCATAATAAAAAGTGAATTTGAAACCCAACACTTAAATTCAAGTTTTAACAATGACATGTGTGCAGTGTGGATTTTCAAGATAATCAAAGATTTCAAATCTTAAAAATGTTTAAATTTTTTCTTTCATTTCAATCTATAGTCATTTTATCCATGGAAACAATGCCAGATTATGAAGTTTTTACATTAAATACATGACATGTTCAACTATACAAGAGCTTAGTTCCTCAAATATAGTGCATGCAATAACACTGTCAAAACTGTGAGAAGGGGAAAATATAGTCGGAAATCTGCACCATTATTGACAATAGAAATGAATCACTGCTTTTCAAAAATGCCAATTTCAAGTTGCTTTCTTTTTAAGGCAATGGTATGATAATGACACTGTTTCACTGCATATTACCAAAATAAATTTGGGAAATGAACATAGTGTGTGTTGAAAAGATTCCACTAAGAGGACATGGTCACAAAGAAATTTCTTTGATTATACGAAACCCACTGTTGATAAACCACTCAACTGCAAAGTTTATGCACAGTGCCTTTGCTGTCACTTCCAGAATATCATATAACTTGATTCTAATATTTCAGGTCAAAGCCAATAATGACACAACCAATCTGATAACCCCACTAAAATCTGAGATGGTTACACCCTAATTCCAACTCTTTAGAGAATAACTGTTACCTATTTAATCAGTCAAAAATGTTCTTTGGAAAAGAAATGTTCAACGGATATTCAAATATTTTAAACTTATTTCCATTTTGACGGGTTGCACAGCATGACAAATCTGAATGGATGCACACCAATGTTCAATGGACGACCCATAAAGTTAAGCTACATTTCTAGTTCGACTACATTAACAGTTTATCTCTGCAAAGCATGCAGAATTAGATTAAATTTCTATGATGTTTATTCTTAATTTCCTTTTTTATTAATCCATATGTGTATCAAATATAAAAGTTAAATTTTTCATAAATGCTTATGAATATAAGAATACTCACAAACTCATGTCGTTATACCCACTACTGTGATTCAACTTACA